TAGGCCGGCTTTCTTGAAAAATACCCGGGGTACTATATGCAGCGCTGTATGGTACTATACTACTTAGTACTGGAGCTTTAACTAAATTCTACTAATTATAAGTTTTTCTTTTATTGAACCTCATAAGTAATTAGCTAAAAATCCACCAGTTTTACCTACATATTCTGAAAGTTCTTCTAAAAGTTGATCTTTATTCTCTAGTCTAGCAAGATGTATAAGCTCTCTTTTAATTAGTGCATCCTATTTGTTTGGATCTAAAATTTCTTTGCGATATCATGTATCTAATTTATATACTACCATTGTTGCTAGATTGTATAAAAAGTCATTTCAATGTTGCTCTACTAGGATATGTCTTACTTCACCGACAATAATTTCATCAACAGCTCACTTAGCCAACATCACGCCAAGTGACAATTTACTAAAAACATGTGCCTGCAATTAATAAAATGCTAATCCTAACCCTATGTGATATTGGCTAAATGAACTTTCAGTGAAATGATTGTCAGTGAAGTGAGTAGCACCAGCTCTACTAACCTTATACTCTCTGTGATTACTGTAGTTGAAACATAATCATTATTACATATGGTTGTTTCTAGTTGACATAATTTAAAAAAAGCTACAGATAAAAGTGGCATATCTCCTTCTAATTCATAAATAAATTTGACAAAAGGTTCTAAAAAGTTATGAAGATGCTTAAGATCTTGCCAAAAAAAATCATTCATTAAATGAATTTTGATGTTAGAACTAATTTCTATACTTTCTTCTATTAATAATAAACGAATTGCATTTTTTGTTTGTAGCAAATAATCTATGCAATAAAATGCAGATCTCCAACATGTATCTACTGGTTGTACTAAAGAAATTATATGTTCATATTTTTTTATTTGAAGACAACGAAGTGTAGCTAGTGGTATATTATGATTTCTAAAATAATTAATAACTTCTTTGCTAGTTTCTAATACATTTTTTGGCCAATCTAATTTTAGAATATCTTTGATCCAAAGATTAATTCCATGAGCCCAACATCCTAAAAATACTTTTGTTAGATATTGTTTTTTAAGAATATGCCAAGCAGCTTTCATGTTAGGCACATTGTCAGTAACAATAGCCACAAACTTGTCAGCACCAAGCTCTTGTATAACTTTATTTATTCCTTCTGCAAAGTTTTGTACAGTATGTTAATCTTCTTTCATATGTACTGATTTGTAAAAAAGCGGTTTAGGAGTTGTAATCATATAATTAATAATAGAATCCTTATGAATATTTGACCAACCATTTATTACAAGACACAAAAATTGTGTTTTATCAAGTAAGTAATTAATAACAGTATTTAGACCAGAATATTCTTTAGTAAGAAGAGAGTTTGAAAAAGAATAATGTGTAGGTAATTTAAAATATGGTAATGCTCTTGAAAAAAAAGCTTTTATACTGTATCTTCATTTTCCAAAATATTAAATGAAATACCAGCAGAATAAAACCCATGTGCTAACAAACTTTCTAGTTCTTTTTGATTCGCATTAGTAAACTTGTATAAAAAATTTCCTATTTTTGTTTGTTGTTTATAGTTGATAGTTCTTGTATTATCGTTATTGTTATATACAAAGCTTGATGTAGAACTTGATATATTACTACTGCCAGAATTTTTTAAATTGCAATGGTTGTAATGTTCTTGCATTCGTGTTTCATTTTTGACCCAAGAATTATTACAAGCTTTACATTTCCACCATTCTTGTCCTTTTTTATTTACTATTTTTTCAAATCCATCCCAAAAAGTTCCTTTATTACGAGGCATATTAAATTGATAAATCGATTTTTTTTATCTTACATTATATAAATTACCTTACATGGTAACTTACACAACATAAAATGTAACTTACATTTTAAAAATAACTTACGGTAAGTTATACAACCCTAATCACAACTTGATCAGCAATTAAACTATACTAATACGTATAAATTATATAACCGTTTAACCGCATAAAAATTGTTCAATAGTTTCGAGCTGAATTATGTTTGCCATGGGCTAAAATTATGGCTGAATTAACGATTAACACGGCTAATCGTGATAACCAATTTTAGTCTGTGGTATCGCATATATGTATATCGATATATATATATTGCATATTTAATTTATATATTTTTTTTGCATTTGCTATTTCCCGTTTCCAGCTTTCAGGGAGGATTTCGTTATGTGCATATCATAAACCATGACGGAACTTTCAGAGAAGCCTACAAGCCTTTCGAGCTCCTCGGAGTACGGAGACTCACGAACTATTCGGTAAGCTGTTCCATTTCAACTTTGGATAGGAGGGGCATCGGAAACCCATTTTTTTAGTGCTTCTATTATAAATGTGACCATAGAAAAAAATAATTAATATTATGCTTTTTTTAATTTATAGTGTGTTTGCTGGCACGTTCAACGTAAGCGGACAAGACGCGTCGGAGTCTCTTTCACCGTGGCTTGAATGTGAGCATGACATTGACGTTTATGCGATAGGGTGAGTTTTAAGGTTAAAAATTAATTAATTAATTAATTTCAAATGATGATTGAAATCAATTAATTAGCTTTCAGGAGGTAGACCTTAGTGCAGAAGCATTTTTATTGAATGATAATATTAGAGAGGAAGAGTGGAGCGATGCTGTATTAAGAGCATTGGGTGATAAAGCCGGAAATTATTGGAAGGCAGGTTTTAAAATTGATTAATTATGTTTATTTACAATAATCTTGTTCTAACTTTAAAATTAGTTTGAAAATTTATATAGATAATGTCTAAAAGATTGGTTGGGATAATTCTGATGGTTTTGGTGAAGAAAGAGCACCATCCATACATCAAAGATATTCGAGGCGATAGTGCTGGTGTAGGATTGATGGGCATGATGGTATGAAATTTTATAGGCAAGCACCAAAGTTTGGAGAGCTATTCAGGTGTATTTTGTGGAATAAAGCCCAGGCATTATAATATATTTGTATCCAGATACAATGAGGATTGTGCGTTACTCTAGAGATATTGAGTCTAGGGTACTATACTAGAGTACTAATAATCAAATAGTTGCCAATTCATGTCTAATAATGTGGCCTTCTGTCTGATTATAGTACTTGAATGCTTTTTTAGTATCTTGAATTATGAATTATGCATTGTATCCAAGTTTTTTATATTGAAATTCTCAAAAGGAAAGTAAGGTACTATGCTTAAAAGGGCATTTTATTCTGCAAAATACAATATGTGTGTCTCTCCCAAGGCAATATAAATTGTTAAAGATTTATGATAACGATGCCCAATTTTCTTAGGGTAATAAGGGTGGTGTAGCCATAAGATTTCGTTTTCATGATTCATACTTGTGCTTTGTGAATTGTCACTTGGCGGCAAATCCGAATGGGTTAGAAAGGAGAAATCAAGATTACATGGAAATATGTAGACGGCTGACTTTTCCTTATGACACAAACGAAGGATACTCCACACTGTATGGTTGGGTTGGCGATTATATACCTCCTTCTGCTAGGTATGCAGCAGCCGCTGTTGTTGGAATGGGAGGAATGTTTATTCCGGGCGTAAATGCGACAAATGAACCGTCCACGGATATTGTCGGTGCTGGAGCTGTAATATCAATATTTGATAACGAGTGAATATTAATTTATTTATTTATTTAATAATTTAATAATAATCAAATGAAATGAGTTTTTTTAAAAATTTCCTGAAATTAATATTATTAGTCATTTAATCTGGATGGGTGACTTAAATTATCGCATCGATACTTTGCCAGAATCAGCGGTCAAATCACTATTAGAAAAAGATGATATGGAATTATTACTAAACTTCGATCAGGTATGCTGAAACGAGCATTTCATTTTCGAAAGTATTTCTTAGACAATATGATAACTTTTTATAATATAATTACACTAGCTTAATGTACAAAGAAGAAATAAGCAAGCGTTTTATGAATTTGAAGAGGGTAAAATAACATTCCCACCGACTTATAAATATGATTTTGGAACAAATATATTTGATACCAGGTTACTATTACAAAACATTACAATGTCTTATTTATAATAAGAGGTATTAATAAAATTGTTTTCTATCATAAGTGAAAAGAGAAGAACGCCCGCATGGACAGATAGAATATTATGGAGGAGTAAGGAAAACGACTGGTGTAGACAATTGACGTATAAGAGTCATATGGACATAATGTTAAGTGATCATAAACCAGTCAGTTCAATTTTTGAATTAAAGGTTAGTGATGAAATAATATAATTATATTTAATATTTGCAACGATTAATATTTTTTTGATGCAGCTTAAAATATGTCCACCTGAACTGCTTGACATTCCTGAACATGAGGATGATGAAATGATAATGTATAACAATGTGATTATACTTAAAGACAATGGGTGTGAACAGGTGTGAATAATTAATAATAAATTAATCATGATTAAAAACGAAGTATATCTATTCTCTAAATTATCATAGACAAAATAATATAAATCATTATGTCAAAGATGCAGAATAAATTAGTTTGTCTAATTAATTAGCTTAAAGACGCGTGTATCAGGGTATTAAAGGTTTTTTTTTGAGAATGTTTATATAACAGATAATCCAAAATTAATTTCCAGACAAAATCTACTATATTTACAAACTAATAATTTAAATTAGTAAATATTTTTTTTAAAAAATAAATATATTATATAAATTATCTGTTTCGCTATTTATTATTCAAGTTAATTACCAATATGAAGCTTCTGCTGCTTCATATTCCCAGTGCAGTTCACAGGTCACTGACCCTTTTAAATTGTAAATATAGTAAGACCCCAAATGCATTTAGAGAACAATATCAAACATATATTTGAGCCAGAGTTTTAAGTTGCATTTAGGGTTTGAATATAGAGGATTTCTTATGTAAAATGCAAAAATTTAAATCGATAATCCTTATTAAATATTGAGCAAACACTGTATTGGTCTAGAGACGGCTGATTAAAATATATTTGTAATAATGTTCATTATAATTTATCCCAAATCTCTTTGCCCAAAGTATCTTCTCACAATGGTAATGATCATATTCAAAGTGGCTAATATCGGATCTTCTACATCCAACTAACAAAAAAAAAAAATAGATATTAATATAATAAATTATGAATATAATTAGCAGAGGGAGGATGAATTTACCATATCGAGATTTTGTCTAATATCAATACATTTCCTACAAACACTCCTAAGGATCGCCATTTGATTTGGAGTCACAAGTTTATCAACTTTTACAAACAATGCAAAAAGCCATTGACATTTTGTAATTGTAATTCCACTGTCTAACCATTTGATATGATAAAAAAGTAAAGCAACTGTTGTAGGCTGCAGATAATAAAAAAATATGATGAGAATAGTTTAAATAATATTCATATACAGCATATATACAGTATATTGCATTTCAAACCTGATCTAATCGAGATATTATACTTAAAAAAGGTAGCATCATCGCAGCCGTTTCATAAATTTCATTTTCTTTATTTTCCGAGACTTTTGTTGCTAATGATTCATGATTCAACATTTCTAATCCATAACAAAATTTTAACCACCCAGCTTCATCTTGTTTATTTGGTATCTCGACTGGTGGAAATAATGCTTTATTTAACAATGGTTTAGTCCCTTTTGTTTTGATGATGTATCGTTGTAACGCCTTATTTTGGTAATAATTGTTTAATTGGAAGAAAAAAAATTTAATACATTATAATATATATATATATATGTTGTACATCAAATTATTAGATCAAAATAATTATAATGCCACTAATACCTACTCTTACCTCAGATTTTAAATTTTGATCAATTTAACGTACAACATGTATATTAGATATAATATACAAACCTCTCTCAAGTTTTCAAATCTGCTTAAAAACGTGTTTTCCCATTCTTCATTAATTAAACCAATTTCTCTATTTTTTTTATCTTGCTCTTCGACCGAAACACTTTGACTATTCGCCCAACCTCTTTTAGCCCATCCAGCAATTTTGACTTGATTCGATTTACAGCTGATTGTAATACTGTTATTCTGGATAGGTTTATTGGCAACAAAAATATCTGGGATTTTATTAGCTTCTAGTTGAACCATACGTAAATACTCTTCACCGCTTGAAGGTGGCTTATTGATACTACGACCAATAAAGGATTTTTGAGAAACTGGAAGTACAGTCGATTGTATTGCATCATCGATATCGCTAAGCTCATTGAGCTCGTCAATTCCGTCATGGTTAAAACTACTGTATCCTATCTCTTGAGTTTCAAGTTGTGGTGACAGTACGGGTGAAAGCATTGCACTGTTAATGTTTATTTATGTGATTTAGATATTATATTGTTATAAATTCCGATCAAATAGTGTTACGTGTGATTTGTGACTAGAGATGGTGATCGATCTTGATTTTCATATGATCGATCATTTTTTTTTCATATCGAATGGGGTGTTCTGAATTAAGTTTAATGATTAATGCATTCGATTTTTCTCACGATACGTAGAACGTATTGACAAAAAATTGTGAACAATAAAATTAATTAGTTGTGATTGATCATCATCTCTATATGCGACAAATACAGAATACAGAGATTAATTTTTTTTCACCGATTTAAAACAGTTTGAACATATTTGGGAGATCATAATCATCACTGATTTTAATTACGCTTGGCCCCATTAACTACCACCATTTGAACCCCAGAGACATCAAATCTTAGCATTATTACAGGAATACATAGAGATGTTATGGTTCAGTCCGGTCCCAGTTTAAAAAGACCAGTTTAGGGTGTTCTCAAGATTAATTAGTTGATGACCGTAGTGGTGCTCATTAGTGTTCCGACCCGGGTCAGATAATAGTGACCCGACGGGTCAGACATTTAGCCCGGGTCATGACCCGGGTCAAC